GCAAATTCAACGTCTGCCTCCCCAGTAACTCTGCCATCGGGTCCAATTTCAATGTGTACTCTCATGGGGTTAAGAGGTGAGAAAAAATTGTAAATATCATTCTCAGTGGCTCTGTAAGGTAACCCCCTCATGTGTACACAGTGCCCTGTGGTGCTCTGGAAACTGGACCCACCATCTCCATATCTATGATCAGACATTCCCGAAAAGCAGTAATTGAGGTCTCTTCCAAATCTATCAGACCCAAAGCCGTACCCATCATTATAGCCACCGTAATCATCATAGCCTCCATACCCTCCACCATAGGCACCCCGCCTCATCCTTTCAAATCCAGCCCCTCTGCCAATGCTATTATACCCTCTGCCAGCCCCCGGCCTATCATAGGGACCCGGCCGCTGCATAGCCATGAGCTTTCGAGGGGGGTCGTAGTGGGTTCGGACTTCAGCTCGGCTACTCTTGAAGATCTCAATGTATCTGTGCCCTATTCTTTCCTTGTGTTTCTTTAAGGCCTTTTCAGCTATCTCCTGTGAAGCAAACTGCACAAAGGCCTCCCCTGTGCTCCGCCCCTGAAAGTCCACCGGCAGTGTCATCCCATTTGGCACAATTTCCAACCCTGAAAAGAACTGAACAATCTCTTCCTTGCTACAGCCAAATGGGAGTCCTCTAAGCCGGACGAAGCCATCATTGGCAGTATCAGGACTATTCGGACCTGTATGCTTCAACACCCAATCCATTTCAACACTGTTGGACTTGAATACTTCAACATATCTGTGTCCCATGGTTTCTCTGTCCTTCTTCAAAGCCAATTTCACTTCATCTTCAGATTCAAGTTCGACAAATGCTTCACCGCTTGGTCTGCCTTCTCTGGTGTAGATGAAACGAATGCCAGATGTGCCATTTTGGATTTTGCAATCGGAGAAGAAGCGCATCACTTCGTCAGCTGAGCAGGACCAGGGTAGGCCCCTGACCTTCACCACGAACCCCTCCCTGCCTTCTGTGCTCAGCATCATGGTGACTGTTGGGCTCTTGGTGGCAAACTCAGCTCAACGCAATTTCGGTATACCTGAAAAAAATTAGAAAACTATTGTCATGGAAAAATGTTCAGGATACATAGAGAAAAAAGCAAACTATTAATACAAAACAATTACACTAAAAGCTTTTTTGTAAAACATTCATATAAACAAGACGACTGCACCAAATTTCTAACTCATTCATTTATTCAACGATTACTTATTCAATACCTATTATGTGTTGGATACCAATAATGGTGGTTATTTCTGGGTGGTAGGATTATGGGAGCTTTTTGTTTCAGGGAATGCTTTCTTTGGACACTTCTATATGTTCTAAGTTTTCTGCGTTGACCATATATTAACATTATAGTCAGAAAATACAGGGGATGCCCCCTGGCCAAGTGGTTAAGTTCGCACGCTCCGCTTTGGTGGCCCAGGGTTTCACCGGTTCGGATCCTGGGCGTGGACATGGAACCGTTCATCAAGCCATGCTGAGGTGGCATCCCACATGCCACAACTAGAAGGACCCACAACTAAAAATACACAACTATGTACAGGGGAGCTTTGGGGAGAAAAAGGAAAAATAAGATCTTAAAAAAATATTTTAAAAAAGAAAAGAAAAGAAAAAGGCATAAAAAATTAACAGCAACAAAATCGGTGAAAGACGTCAACATATCAAACATGGCTATATCTGATTACATAAAAATGAAAAACTTCATTGCGTCCAAAGTAAGATTAAACAGAATTAAAAACAAACAATATACTTGAGAAGATTCCTTCAACAAATACACGAATACCCTTATTATATAAAGAACTCATGCAAATTAATAAAATCAAGGAGATAGTAAGGCCTAAGAGATAAATGGAAAAAAGACATTATGGGGAATTCACGCATTCACTTTACGTTTTTCAGTTGCCAGGTCCAGTACTTGGCTCTGGCATACAAGGATCAATAAGCCCAGAAAGGCCTTATGGTCCTACAGGGGCACTGTACATCTTTACTAAAGACAAAAGGGCAAATAAACATTATCCCTGCTACGAGAGAATTCCATGTAGGGTGAAAGGGTGGTATAAAGCAGGCACTGGTTAGGCAATTCTATCAGTTGGCGCAGAATGGTCAAATGAAACAGACTAACAGGTTCAGGGATCCATGAACAAATTCTAAAAGTTATGATGGAGCATACAATAGGAGGCGGCAAAGGAAGAGATAAAGGCTGGCAAGGTAGAGATCACATCCCAAAGGCCTTATTTGATAGACAAAGGCCAGGGACCTTTTAAGGGTTTTAAACACCGGAGTCAAGGGAAGGGAGTGACGTCATCAGAACCTTTTCAGATAGATCGCCCTGGCAACAGTGTAGCACTCAAACAGAGGGGGTTGTGGTGACACGAGCAAGATCAGCTAGAATCTCAGTCTCTCAGAGACATGTTAAGGGATTCACCAAAGGCAACAACAGTTTAAAAAACACAGGAAAGATGTGACCTACACATTCAAAGCAGTAGACTCTGCGGGACTTGATAAGATTAAATATAGGGGGAATACAGAGATGAGGACACAGGAGAGGAGTCTGGGAAATGTTCAAACCTCATCAATCATCAGAAATGCAAATTAAAACCAGAATTAATGGCCACTTTTCACCCATCAAGATAGTAAAAATTAAGCAGTGAGGATAAGTCAATGCTGATATTCAAGGTTCACAAACTAATACACTCTTAGAGGAGTAAAAGTTGATCCAGTATTTCTGGAAAGCAACTTGGAAATATGTATCATGCCTTTTGATATAGTAAATCTACTTCAGGTTATGTGCCCTAAGGAGATGATCTGAAATTCACACAACGATTTATGGAACTATATATTCTTTGCAAGGTATTTTATTAAGAAAGATAGAATATTACACACAATTTAAAGGTTACAAAAATATTTAGCAACATGAAAAATTACTTGTGCTATAATCTTACGTGACCCAAGATCACAGCTACTTTATAATCTCAACTATGTAAAAAATATATGTTCACATATCCTTCCACCCTGCTAGAATTCCTTCCAGGAAGCTGGTCAACAGAAATACTCTCAAATGTTCAATGCAGCACTGTTAGTAACGGCAGAAAATTAGAAAGCTAACTAGCCATTAACAGGAGAATGGCTGAATGAATTACACTTTATCCTTAAAATGGAATGATATGCAGCTGTTAAAAATAAGACCTGCCCTGAGCTACGAAGATGTTCAAAATATATTAAATGAAAGAATATGCATAGTATGATCCTACTTATTTTAAAGTATAAGCATGCATGTATATATATATATATATGTAAATGCATAGAAGATGATCCAGAAGCACATGATACAAACTTGTTTTTTAAGAAAAGAAGACCGGGAGGGGCGAAGAGTGAAGAGGATTTTCACTTTTTATCCTATGTACTTCTATATAGTTTTAATTTTTAAAAATCACTGTAACTGGAATAAAAAAACAATGTTAGAAAAAAATACATGCTTGAGAAATATGTCAAATGTTAATAGTGATTACTCTGAGTGGTGAGTTTACAGCTTTTTCAATTTTATTTTTCAATTTTTTGTGCATTCTTAACTTTCTACAGAGAAAGGAATTACTTTTATTTCAGCAAAAAAATAACATAAAACAAATTAAAATGTTTGTTTTTCTGGGATTTGGTATAACAAATTTTATAAAACTTTCTAATTTTGTATGTGGATGGCTTACCTGACATAGTTTGGAGACACTGGGCCTCTTGGAAAGAAAGTACAAAGTGTAAAAACTGACATAAAACTACAGCAAGGATTCAACAAACATTCGCTAATTGCCTATTATGTGCCTGGCACACTGCATCTGCGGTGATAACAAGTCTTCCTATAAACATCTTTCGGTCTGAGTGACAGATTTACGGGCTGTATTTTTGCCTGCCTAAGCTCTTGGATGACCCATCCCATTCAATGTCCCCGCAGCACTCTAGGCCTTAGCATCACCTCTGTAGTGGCAGGGAGGTTCTGCTTCGTTACTGTTATCTCCTAGGAAGGCCACCAGGGCTCTGTTGGCTGAAGTAGGAACGAGGATTACATCTGCGAGTTAAGAATTTGTGTATGTATATGTGTGCTATACACATACTTTTTATACACCACAATGCTGAGTAGTTATCTCCGAGTGATGAATTACTTGTATTTTTCAAATTTAGAGTATACTGTTATTTTTCGAATGTTCAAAATTGAACATGTAGGTTATTGTTATAAGCAGAAAAATAAACGTTATTTAAATATTCAATTCAATAAAAACATTTATTGGGCGCCTCTGTCACACACGCAGCATTTGCCTGGATGTGCCTCCCCCTACAGACAATCAGGCAGTGGAGACTGAGTGCCTGAATGGATGGACCAGCACTCAGACCACTGGTCTCAATATCTGTTTTTCCTAATCCAGGGACGTGGTTTTCAAACGTTTTTCACCTTACGTTTTCTCTTAAGAGTCCCCTGAGACCCGCCCAGACAGACAGATAGACAAAAACACACACACAGTCACGAACGTCCACCATTTCCCCACCAGGCGCAGCAAAGACGGCTTCCCGGCACTGAGATGGGGGAGGGGGAAGCGGGGGAGGGGAAAGCAGGCAACGAAAAAGGCGGAGGAGGCCCGAAGACCCCGCTCTGGTCTCCATCATCACCACCCCCGGGGCCCCAGTTCCCACCCACACACCAACCTCTAACGATACCGGATAATTTTCCTCCTTCTTCCCTCAAACGGCTATAGCGAGATGGTAGACGACGACCAGAACTAGTTCTGCTCACGTAAGCGATTGATCACGTGAGCACCTACGTCATGTGAGATCTCGGTCACGTGAGCAACTCTCGGCTTAAACTCGGGATCACTCAAGTACCGCACTTCCTTCTGGTATGGAAATAGAGAAGGCCCCCGTCGAGAAAGGAAGAAGATGATTGGTTACGGTGCGTCTTCCGCGACTGATCATTGGTCCGCCTCTGGATAACCGTCCGAGTTGCCTGAGAAACAGTACCGTCATTATTTAAGAACTCCCCGGTGATTGGTCCGCCCCTAAGGTTAAACTTAAAAGCCCAGGTTACCCATGGAAGTCTGTACTGCCTGATGACAGGGACGATGAACCTGAGGAGCAGAGCCCAGCTGCTGGGCTGCGTGCTGGGGCTCCGCTCCCTGGCCCTGGTACTCTGGGGCATCCCTGGGGCCAGGGCCCTGGACAATGGCTTGGCGATGACCCCTACCATGGGCTGGCTGCACTGGGAGCGATTTATGTGCAACACTGACTGTGAAGAAGACCCGGATTCCTGTGTCAGGTATCAGAGATATTGGGTACCCCCTTCCCTTGGCCTTTCCGTGTGTTTGTGTGGCTGTGTTGAAGGGATGGAGGGTCTCAGCGGGAACATTTGGGCCCTAGGGAGAGCTCCCCTACTGGTGCTTTTTTATCCCCAGCAACTGCCCTGGGTTGATAAGATTAAATATAGGGGGAATACAGAGATGAGGACACAGGAGAGGAGTCTGGGAAATGTTCAAACCTCATCAATCATCAGAAATGCAAATTAAAACCAGAATTAATGGCCACTTTTCACCCATCAAGCCCTAAACTTTCTCCTTGTGACCCGTTCTAGAGTAGGGGTCAGGCCAGCGGCCCCTGCTTCTCCGTCTCTCGATGCGTGACCATTCAGCTAGGGACTTTCTCCATTTTACCATCCAGTTCCGTTCAGACCCTTCTCGTGAGCTGCTGCGCTACCTCTGCTGGGTACTGGCAGTGAGCACAGCCGCGGTGAGTAGGGGAGACGGAGGACAAAGATGCCCGCCATTTCTTCTCCTTTTTGGGTCACGGGTTCCTTGGCTGTAACTCGAGGGAGTTTAGAGAGACCATGGAGTCTCGGAGATCTCCCCACCACCTTGCCTTTCAGTGTGGCGTCTGGCTGGAGGAACTTTCTATATCGAAGGCGAGGGTTGAGGCTGGATAAGACAGGTATTGAACCCATCAGATCCACACATTCTTTGTAAATTGAGATAACTCTTACCTCACAGAGCCAACTCGGAAGAATCTGTAAAATAGTTCTTATTTGACAGAGGTGAGCTTTCAATGAGATAGCCCATTTGAAATACATAGCACAGCGCAGTGCCTGACCCCTCAATTAGGCAGATAGAACAAATGTTCTTAACTGGAATCCATGGGGAAATTAATGCAAATCTGCAAATATGAGTATGTGTGTGTTTCTGGAGAGAGGATCTTAGCTTTGTTCAGATTCTCAAAGGGATCACTGATCTAGAAAAGGTTAAGAATCACTGATAGTTATTGTTAAAAACATAATAAAGACACCCGTGGTGCAGAGGTCATGGTACATCCCACTGCCCATAAGTTATTCCATAAATGGCTTTACAGATAAAGTCAGGATGTTAGTCAAACATGACAGAGTTAATTGGCCTTCTAAGTTTCAGACTAAGTCCATTGTGACCCTGGGGTAAAGTGTGTAGCAACTGTGCCCATCACATGTTTCTTTTTGTCTCTTCCTTTTTTTCTAAGTGGTGGTTGTCCTCTTTTTGTATCTAATTATAAAATTAATGCATAATCTTTGCAAAAAATGTTGATAGTAAAGAAGAGTATAATGAAAACAAAGATTCTCCTCATTCCACCACCCAGAAATAATCATGGTTAAAATGTTAATATGTGACCTTGCAATTTTCTTCTATGTAAATAAAAACACAGATTTCTTTTTATTATTTTCAATAAAAATGAGATCATGTTTATGTTGTTGAGTGTTAACAAGACTCTGAAGTCTGCTTGCCTAGGTTAAAATTGTAGCTTATCATTACTTAGTCATGTAACCTTGGGCAAATTAGTTACCTTTTCTAAATGTAAGCAGAGTAGAGTGCCTGGCGCAGAATAAGAGCTTCATAAGTGCAAATTGTGTGTAAATACCATAATTTATTTATGCAATCTTCTGTTGATAGCTAGTCAGGCTCTTCAATTTTATTTTTATTTATTTTTGTGTGTGTAAGGAAGATTGGCCCTGAGCTAACATCTGTGCCAGTCATCCTCTATTTTATGTGGGACACCACCACAGCAGTGCTAGGTCCGTGCCTGGGATCCGAACCTGCGAACCCCAGGCTGCCTAAGTGGAGTGCCCAAACTTAACCACTACGCTGCTGCCGAGCCGGCCCCTTAAATTTTTTATTATTGTGAACAAACCTATGGTAACCATGCTTGTACATCATCTCAGTCTTTCCTTAGAAGTCTAATTACAAGGTCCAAAGGTATGCTCATTTTGTTACATATCAGATAAACTATCCTCCCCAGAAGTTTTCCAGATGCACATTCCCAACAACAGTGTATGAGAGTGCCTGTTCCCCACACCCTGACCAAAAGTGCATTTTTGTCATTCTTTTAAAACTTTGCGAATCTCGTAGGTGTTTTTATTTTCATTTTTTTAATTACTAATAAGGTTGAACATCTTTTCATATGTTAAATTGGTTCTTTGCATGGTTTCTTTTATGGATTGCCTGTTTGTGCTAGCTCCCTATTTTTCAATTGGAAAATGTTTTTGTGGTTTGTTTGTTTCTCTGTCATACACTGTGAATATGGTAGTTCTTGCTGTATGTTGGTTTTGATACCTATGTGTCAAACATCAACTTTTTTCTTTATGATTTCTGGCTCTAGCATCATGTTGAGAAAGTCCTTTCCTACGTGAAGATTATATAGTCACCTACATTTTCGACTAGTATTTTCATGGATTTTTAAAAATATTTCAATCTTTAATCCACCTGGACTTTATTGCCCTATAAAGAGTGCCACATTTATTTTATTTTTTTTTTCTTTTTTTCTCCCAAAGTACCCCAGTACATAGGTGTGTATTTTTAGTTGTGGGTCCTTCCACTGTGGCATGTGGGATGTCGCCCCAGCACGGCCGATGAGCGGTGCCATGTCCTTGCCCAGGATTCAAACTGGCGAAGCCCTGGGCCTCTGAAGCAGAGCGCGCCAACTTAATCACTCAGCCACGGGGCTGGCCCTGGAATGCCACATTTAATATATACTGAATTCCATGGTACCAGATGGCTGGAAGGCTCTCTTTCTGAAGTTTCTCTTTAATTCCATTGATCTGTGTATTCTAATGCTACTGGTACTACACCAGCTTCATTTATCTTTTGTAGAATGTTTACGTGTTTAATCTTTTAGGTGAACTTTTTGAATCATGTTGCCAAGTTCCTTAAAATGTCCTTTTGGGATTTGTTCAGGGTTTTGTTAAATGTATAAAGGTGTGCAGGGAGAATTAGCTTCTTTTTATTACTGAGTTTTCTTATCCAAGAGCAACATAATGTCCCTCCATTTATTCAAATCATTTGGAAACATGATAGTTTTATTCATACGGGCTCTGCATATATCTTAAATGTATCTCTAGGTATTTCAGGTTTTTCTCTTGCTTTTTTGGTTGCTCTTGTGAATGGTATCTCTTTCTCCAAATAGATTATTGTTGATATCTAAGGAACCTGATGATTATGTTGACTTTGTAGTTTCTTACTTTACTGAACTTTTAGTTTTAATAACCTTTTCAATTTCATGTCGTATTTCTCTTCTCATTTTAATTGTTTGGGGTTCTTAGGGTGGAAGTCTTAAGAGGGGAGGGGAGGGAGAAGAAAAAGGGCCCAGTTCATTTTACCTTGCATTGGTTGTGATTACTACTGAACTATTACTGAGTTGAAAAAAATTGTAAAACCCCAAGGTGCCTAACACAAATAGGAGTACCCAACCATTTGTTTAATGAATTGTAATGATTCTTGGAATTTCTCTTTCAGTGAGAAGCTCTTCATGCAGATGGCAGACCTCATGGACTCAGAAGGCTGGAGGGATGTAGGTTATGAGTACCTCTGCATTGATGACTGTTGGATGGCTCCCCAAAGAGATTCAAAAGGCAGACTTCAGGCAGACCCTAAACGCTTTCCTGGTGGGATCCGCCGCCTAGCTGATTATGTGAGTTTATAGATAATTCTCTTTTTCATTCAGGAGACTGTAAGCACCTCTGTACCAAAGCTTGTTCAGAAAAATTTGGAAAGCAAAATAGCTGGTGTCATCTGAACATTGATTGTAAGGCTTATCATGTGGAATTTTCATCCTATCAGCAGATAGATGTTTTGCAATAGCTCTTGAGGCCCATCTTGGAGAAGTTCTCCTTTTGCTGATACCACTGAATTCTCTAGGAGGAAAAAGGAACTTGGTTTTTGACATGTATGTATACATCTCCGTATAAGTTTTAAGCAGCTATTGCAATTGTGCTATAAACTAGAATTTTAGAAGACAGAAGGAATATATTCTGGAGATTGTTAAAGAATAATAGAGCCAGACACTACTCAAAGGCAATGAGGACAGATTTTATTCAGTACTATTGCTATAGGGGAAAGAGCTGAGCTCCGTTCCAAATACAACAAAGACAAGTGGGGATTTATAGCCAAGGAGCAGATTGAGGGGGTCAGTGGATGAAAACTTAACTAAGAGGAAATATCAGAAAGAGAGGGATTCTTGCGAAAAGCAGGCCAAGGACTGAGACATCAAGGGTGGGGGATGAGGAACTTGATCGGATATCAAGTGTAGGGGACGACTTAGCAGGATGTTTGCTACAACTGGATGCAGAAGGCAAGGTTGAGGCCTACTTGAGAAGTGGACTCAAAGGAGCCTAACTAAGGTTTGGTCAAGGAGAGAGTCTATGTCCAGATAAATCTGCCATCGCCCTGGAGAGGTAACTTTTAGGATCCCATCAGAGGAAGATTTGAGCGACTGATAGCTTTCCCTTCAGTTCTCTGCTATAGCTTACATGTAGTTTGAACTCTGCAGAATTGGAGACTTTGCTCTTTCTCCCCCAACAAATTCATCTAGATAATTTTGGGGGCTTGTGAAAAAAGAAAAAGCCCCTGATACTTGGTGCAGTGTACTTGTCTCTGCCCCCAGCCTAGAGTGGTTCTCTCTTTCTACTTCTTGATTGTTCTTCTACTATGGTGACTCCTTCCTCTCATTTCAGGTCCATGGCAAAGGACTGAAGCTAGGAATTTATGCAGATGTTGGAAAGCTAACCTGTGCAGGCTTCCCTGGGAGTTATGGATACTATGACATTGATGCGAAGACCTTTGCTGACTGGGGAGTAGATCTGCTGAAATTTGATGGTTGTCACTTTGACACTTTGGTAGATTTGGCAGATGGTATGTTTCATTCAAGAGATTTAGCCATGAGTAAAGGGAAAAACTTTAAGGCCAAGGTAACTGAGCATCCAAAGAACTAATCTTCACATTTTAAATACCCAGTCACAATACTGGAAGTAATTATTCTCAATGTGCCAGAGTTCCTACCTCTTCTCTTCCTTCAATTTGTCCATGCGTTCACTCATTCATGCATGTAAAATTCATACATGCCTAACCACGGCTAATATTGTGTCTTTTTAATTCAAGAGGACTGTGAGTCAATTACAAACAGTAATTGTAACTCTCCATAACATGACTTGGGAAAGCATCCAGATTGTCAAACAGTCACAGAGAAAGGAGCATCTTCATTCCTGCCTTTCCTTAATAAATGCACCTCCCGACAATCCCAGCAGTCCGGGAAGTACAAGACACAATTTAAGCACAGAGCAGCCAACTGTCTCTGCTGCTCATTTAAAATATAAACATGCCTTTCCAGGCAGCCTCTTTTTAAAATATACAGCACCAACTGGAAAGTCCCTTTTTTCCCTTATTTTACCCATTGTTTTCTCATACAGGTTATAAGTACATGTCCTTGGCCCTGAACAGGACTGGCAGAAGCATTGTGTACTCCTGTGAGTGGCCCCTTTATATGATGCCCTTTCGTAAGGTGAGCTAGTGAGCCCAGGATCCAAAAGAGCCATGCTGATTTTCAGAACTTGAGAACAAAGGAGACAAAGGTCTCCTTTGAAGTCCAACCTTACTTAACAGTCTCATCCTACCATCTCCCCTAGGATCCAGCCACTTCTCACATTCCCCACTGCTATAATTGGAATCTAAGCTACCCTCACCTGGGAAGTCATCTTTGATTCTTCCCTGTGTCTCATGGTTCACAACCTAACCACCAGCAATCCTATCAGTCCTATCTACAAAAGATATCCTGAATCAGGCCACTCCTCTTCATCTCTGCTGCATCCACCTGGTCTTCCAAGCCACCATCATCTCCCTCCCAAACTGCTCTGACAGCCTGATCTCTCTACTTCCACTCTCCCCCTACCCCTGTGCATTTCCGAAGCAGCACTGCAGTGACCTTATTGAAATGTAAATATAATCACATCACTCCCCTGCTTAAAACCCTTAATTGGCCTCCCGTTGCACTTGGAATAAAATCAGACTCCATTGATCTGGCCCTGGCCTGCCCCTCCAACCTCATTTCCCATCACTCTTTCCCTCACTGCACTGGTTTTCTTTCTGTTCCTCAAACACCCCCAAACCTATCGCTGCCTCCAGGCCTTTATGTTTACATTTTGTTTTCTGCCTAGTATGTTCATCCTCCAGGATTTTTAAATGGCTGACTCCTTCTTAATTTTGAGGTCTTAGACCAAATGCCACATACTCAGATGGGTCTTCCCTACTCTAAAATAGCCCTCTATCCCTTCATTCTTTATCGCATTAACCGGTTCCGGTTCCTTCTAAGAGCTTAGCACTATATGGAATTATTTGTTGACTTGCTGATTCTGTCTCCCCCACTAGAATGTAGGCTCCAGGAAGGCAGGGAACTTGTCTGACTTTATCACTGTATCCCTAGCATATGGTAAGTGTTGAATAATTACTTATTCAATATAAATATATTTATCTATTTGTATATTATTTATTTATAAATATATTTATATTATACATGTTATATTTATATTATAAATATATTTATATTAAATATAAATATATATTTATTTTATTGAATTCCTGTTATTTTCTTTTAATCTCTGCAAAATACTCTTACCTCTTTCTCAACATCTTTAACCTCGGATATTCCACCTGCCTAACTACAAACTTTTATTTATTCTATTTATATTCCTAGGATTCAGATTGCCTTATCCTATGCTTGATGAGTCCTGTGTAATTTTGCAGCTTTTATTTTTACTTAAGATCATTCTAGGGGCTGGCCTGGTGGTGCGGTGGTTAAGTTCGCATGTTCCGCTTGGGGTTTGCCAGTTCGGATCCCGGGTGCGGACATGGCACCGCTTGGCACGCCATGCTGTGGTAGGCGTCCCACATATAAAGTAGAGGAAGATGGGCATGGATGTTAGCTCATGGCCAGTCTTCCTCAGCGAAAAGAGGAGGATTGGCAGCAGTTAGCTCAGGGCTAATCTTCCTCAAAAAAAAAAATCATTCTGGTTATTTCTGATTATAAAAGTAATACATGTTCATTTTAGAAAAGTTTGAAAATACAGTGAAGTGTGAAAAAAATTAAAATCCTCCATAATCCCAATACCTTGTTACTGTTTGGTAAATTTCCAGCATAAACTGTGTTAAAGCCATCTTAAGTAGAGATTTTAAGTTATATGGCCTACTTCTGCAGCAAACTTCTTAGAATGAAATTTCATTATATGATTTAGCTCTCCTCATGGAGACCTTTAATCTGTAAACAAAAGAGAAAGCTACTAGGGCCTCCTTTAAACTTGACTGTTTTCATCTCACAAGAATATTAGTAGAAAGTAAATAGGAGTAAACAGAAGAGTTATTTGTGTTTTCACAGCCCAATTACACAGAAGTCCGAGAGTACTGCAATCACTGGAGAAATTTTGCTGACATTTATGATGCTTGGCAAAGTGTAAAGAGTGTCTTGGACTGGACGTCTTCTAACCAGGAGAAAATTGTTGATGCCGCAGGACCAGGGGGTTGGAATGACCCAGACATGGTAAGAACCTGAGCCCCCCTGGTTCCACCCTCCACACTGAGCCTGTCTGGTACTTGACATTCAAGGTAAATTAGAAGGGAAGGCTCCTGGGAGCAGGCTTTATGTGCGAGTACTCCGTAGGGTGCCTTGGAAAGTGGCTGTTCTATCTGCGTCTAGGCAACTTGAAGAATATTTCTTCTGGCTCTTGAATTCTTACTTCATTCTTTGTCTCAGTTAGTGATTGGCAACTTTGGCCTCAGCTGGGATCAGCAAATAACTCAGATGGCCCTCTGGGCTATCATGGCAGCTCCATTATTTATGTCCAATGACCTCCGACAGATCAGCCCTCAAGCCAAAGCACTCCTTCAAGATAAGGATGTAATTGCCATCAACCAGGACCCCCTGGGCAAGCAGGGGTACCGGCTTAGAAAGGTATAGTAAATAATGTTCAATGGGAGAAAACAGGAATTGGCTGGGAACCTGTCCTCCTGCCTTCTAGTTTACAATTCATCCAAATGTTTATTTTACTTTAAGATGTGTGTACTTTAAGATGGCTTTATACCCAAGTGCCAAGCTTGTCTTGGGCCTAAATCTGTTGCATGAGAATAAGCACTGATCTTATGAGAATATTTTTTTTAATCTTGATATTATAATCAGTAATGAGGCTCCTTTTTGCTGGAATCAGTATTTACAAAACATGCTACTGAATAATTTTAATCTTTCCTAGAAGCGCTCAGATAGTTCTCACAATAAGACTGAATGCCACAAACAAGGCAGCTTACTGCCAGTTACCAAGCTATCACCCCGATTTTCTTGGCTTACTTTTCAGGAAGACAACATTGAGGTGTGGGAACGCCCTCTCTCGGACTTTGCCTGGGCTGTGGCGATGGTAAACCTGCAGGAGATTGGTGGACCTCGTTTTCATACCATCTCTCTTGCTTCCCTGGGTGGAGGACTGGCCTGTCTTCCTGCCTGCCTGATCACAGAGCTCCTTCCTGTGAAGGGAAAGCTTGGGTTTTATGAATGGACTTCAAGTTTAAAACTGCGAATAAATCCCACAGGCACTGTTTTGCTTCGGCTAGACAGAACAAACTAGATGGCATAAGAAAGCTTCCTTTAAAGTGTATATTTCGTTGACCAAGTGAATACCCCACTTCTACCTTGTCTTCCATTCCCACTTCAGCTGTTCTTTTATTTCCTTGAATAAAACTGTCCACAAGTGAGCTTTTTTAAAACTACTAAATGTATCTGAAGAGAACATTTTGGGGAAAAGCTTTTGAAACGAATGTTTAACTGCTGAGAAACAGCTATAATTTATTGGGTACTTAGTATGTGCCAGGCACCGTTCTAGAGGCCTAAGGTGTATTGACTCATTTTAACGCTCACAACCCTCAGGTAGGTACTTATCCACTGTAAATCGCAGCCAGGACTTAAACCCAGGCTTTTAACCCTTTACACAGCCACCTACTGATGTACTTGGATGATACTGCTTACAATCTTAGCTCAAAGGGAAGATGAAAAGAAATCAAGTGAAGGGCAAAAACTACCCAAGCAAGATTATAACCTTGATAAATGGAAGATTCAGATCTGAAACTAGAGGCAACCCAAAAGACCACATTACTGAATTTTTACGGAACAATCTTGTCAAGAAATACCCTACCACCTAGGTTCCCAAATCCCAAGGTTGGTTATAATCTAGATCCAACAAATGCAGCTGGCTTTCATCTTATGACGTAAAATACCAGACCTCCGGCCAGAGGATCCCTTCCCTTTAAGATGAATTGCCTTATCTCTTGAGGTTCTGTGATGAGGCAATCAGCCTCAAACTAGGGTATGTGGGAATGGATCATTTTAAGGAAATTTCCACATTTCAATTCCTTTTCCTACAATTTGTTTGCCTGAAGACCAACCTATAGGCAGCTTCAAGCCTGCTCCTTCCCCTTTCATGATCACCCTTCTCCCACGAGCAAATGTATAAAGTCATGCATCTCACCCATCCAAAGGGCACGACAGTACAAAAAAATGGTACAAAAGGCCCACTCAAAATAGAAAGTGCATTTTTTTTTTAGGAAGATCAGCCCTGACCTAACTACTGCCAATCTTCCTCTTTTTGCTGAGGAAGACTGGCCCTGAGCTGACATCCATGCCCATCTTCCTCTACTTTATACATGGGACCCCTACCACAGCATGGCGTTTGCCAAGTGGTGCCATGTCTGCACCCGGAATCCGAACCAGCGAACCCCAGGCCGCCTGAGAAGCAGAACATGTGAACTTAACTGCTGTGCCACCAGGCCGGCTCCAGAAAGTGCATTTTGTAACGATTCCTTTGTCAGGTGATTACAAATTATTTTCAGTACTAATTGTCAGGTGATAAAAATTAGAATGAAATTGGTAAACCCATACTTATACATCCACAGATAAACTAATTTGAAAGAAAACTGCTCCATCTCATTGAGATGCACTTCCAGTTACTGAAATGTGTAGCTTATTTGCTTTGCCATCCAGAGTTTTGTCGCACAAGTATGAAGAGCTGAACATCATTAAGAATGAAGTATACAATAGTATACCAAGAGGAAAAGGATGTAAAATTTGAAACTGTTAGGCATTTCTAAAATTGGATAGATATCCCCATTAGGTTCCACTGAGAAGTTGAATTCACTAGAAACTGCATCCTTTAGTTATTTCAACATGATGAAAATAATTTGTCTACTTTAAAATTTGAGGGGGTACTGTCAAAACGTTTAGGGGGTATGAGAGCAAGTCTGAAGACATATAATACATATAGTATGTTGCGCCTAGAGAACTGGGCCAAAATTCCTCATTAAATGACTGAAGTAGCAAATGCATGAGACAGATTATTCTGCTCTTGGTAAGCCTTACATTCACTATGGATATAATTGTTTCTGATCCCACCCTGCTAGGGAATTTCAGATCCCTACTTATGTCCCATGATAACCAATAACCTTTGCTTAACAGCAAAAGGAATCACATGAAGCCCCAAGTGATTAAAATGCCAAATTAGAGCATCACATCTGATATGAGCTCAACCAGTCAGGTTCAATCCAAAACGAGTAAAGTACTCAGAACCATGAAGCATCAATTTCCCCACAGGACGGATTTTATGGATGGCACTAGTTTGTTTCCCTCCCAAAACACCAACTGCAACCAAACAAAGTAAACATAACCTCAAAATTTTATTGTCTTCATAATAAAACAAAAGATGAGGCTTAGAACTGGATCACTTGGCCCTGTAACAGAACAGAAAAAAAAACGGTGAGCTTGGTATTTTGTAAAGAACCTCTACTCCATCGAGCAGTGTCTATTCTTAAAGGGACCATCATCCTTTAAGTGTCCTCACTGTTCCTTTCCTACTCATGCTGAAACCAATACCAAAAACCTTACACCTTCAGCTACAGAGCTAGTTATTTTGAGAAGATTGCCCCTGATCTTGATGCAGCAATAAATGAGTGGGCAAAAATGTTCACCTCTCCAAAATATAATAAAGCTACATAGAAGACTGCACCTTCCACCCATAATTAGATACCTTTCTCTTCTTATCTCCTCCAAGTTCAAAATGCTTGCATCTCTTGATAGCCAGCATTCTCTTAGATCTGCAGTTGGGCTCAACACATTCAAGCCTCAGCACAATCTTCTTTGTAGTTTTAGCCTGGAAAAAATTTAAGTCAAACTCTTCATAAATCACTGCAGAAAATCTTCCCTCAAAAACGACTGGTTTACTAAAGCAAAGCTTTCAAATGATAAGAGTTGTGACAATCGGTCTCGAGCATAGGGAGAAAATAGAAATGTGAAAACCAGTGGATTTAACAGAAAATGTTATAGCAAGGGTGGCAAGTTATTTAACTGCCATCAAGTTCTCCATTCACATCAAACATCCTAGAGGGCTCCTTATCAAATAGGCACCCACCATACCACCTTGAAGTGTGGCCATTCAGCACGTCTATTTAAATATTCCAACAATCAAAAGTGGGTCAACCAAGTCCATGCAACTATGAAACACAACTTTCACAACTCATTAGATAAGGTTAATAATTGATACTTATGATATATTAATTCTCCAAAGACTACCTACAACTATGTCTAGAACTTATGTACATTCAACTATATTATTTAACTCAAGGTACACTCCCCACTAATACTGAACTCTTTAAGCCTGCTCCTGGAGTCAGAATTCTACTACTGCTAGTTTGCAGTTCTCAAAAGGCCAAACATGGCTAGAACCTCCCCATCTTCTAAACAAGTAACCAAAAAGGTGAAAAGGCAATTAAGCATTCCTTTTTCTACCCTGAGATCAAACTATTTATTGCACCTAAATGAACACTCAAGTCATGGAATGCCATGTTCCAGGCACTGTGCTAATTAAGTGGTAACCAAATTACCTGTGGTAGAACAGGAACTAATTCAGCCTGAGGACAAATGACAAATATGGAATTCAGGAGGCCAGTGGAAGGCCTAAATGGCTATTCTAAAGAGCTTTAAGACTTCATGAGATAGGCAGCAGACAGACTGTAGCCTTCTGAGTCGAGAAGCAATAAGAAAACAATTCTTTCTGCAACCAAGAGCTGAGGATTCACAAGGACACGACAGATAGGGAACAGAGCAAGGAAAGGATTTACTCATGTACTCAAACTTCGGTCCTTAGCAAGATTGAGTATATCCCTTAACTCGATGTTTGCCTCTTCAAAAAGCACAAAAAAAATATAAAGTACTGAGGAGATGCAGTATTGTAAACTGGAGTCAGACCTGAGCAGCACTTCCAGCTCCACTGCCTACTAGATGTGTCACCGCAGGTAACTGAGATAACGTGGCTGTAACTATGATGCGGGCTCGGAGAGCCAAGGAGTCCAAAGAAAGATTTCTTGGACTCTCAAAGTCCAGGAGTAGTGCTCTTTTATTCAGAGAATAACATGGGGACAGGACCCATGGGCAGTGAAGGGCTGCAATGTGTTGAGGGCAGGGCTAAATTTTCTAAGGCATGGGTACGTGACCTATTTTTACTAGACAAAGGAAAGATGATGTAAAAAGTCATTAAATGGTATCAGTGCAGGTGAGGTCTGGTTATTGTGTGGTTGTATAACTTTAGATATGAATCAGGTCATATAGGTCACCATGTAGGCCAGCACGCATTGGGCTTCTCTCCCTGGGGCAGCCTTGATCCACATCACTATGAAAACACATCACCTACATTGTAGAAGTGTGGGCTAGAGACAAATGCAAGGTCTTTACCACAGTAAGTGGGAAGCATGTCAAACAGTAATCACTACTAACCTTTTTCCGGAAAATCGGCTTAGTCTGCCCACCATAGCCACTCTGCTTCCTGTCATAACGCCGCTTTCCTGGGAGAGCCAAAGTTATTTGTTATGGCATACTGAAGAACATAAATAACAATAGCCACATGTTCAAGTCCTCTTAGGGATTTTATCTTGGGCTTTCCAGCAGAAATATTAACGCCCAAGCAGGAGGAAAAAACCAAGGTCGTATACTATACTACTACATAAATGCCACATTAAAACTAAATTATGCACAGATCGTCTTACCCTGGGCATACAGAGAATCCTTGCCCTTCTTGTATTGTGTTACTTTGTGGGGTTGGTGCTTGCCACACTTCTTACAGAAAGTCCGGCGGGTTTTAGGAACGTTCACCTAGTAAATGAACCGTTCAGAACAGACAATGTTAGACGCCAAGAGCACAACGCCCTATCTGGCCCAGCTGACGCTAAGCCATCGCACGAGGACCCGACTCTCAGATTCCTCGCTAACACAACGCTCTGACCAGAAGGTGGTCCAAGCCCAGGCACTTGAGGCAGAGCGCCCTCCGCCGAACCTCCAAGTGCAAAGAGCGTATTCACTCCACCCCGCAGCTAAGTCCACCTCTTTGATGCCATCAGTTTAATTCCTGAACCCGTAGCCCGAGCCCCTTCGCGGTCGACCCCAGCAATACTGAGTTCTTTTGGTACAATGAGTCCACGCAGGGGCCTGGACCCATCATGGGATGGCACTGTCGCCGGGAGTAGAAAGATTAAGCTGGATGCTACCGACCCCCAACCCAACATCCTACCATGTTTGCAAGCGCGCTATCGGCACGGAAAGAAAGAGGCCAGGCCGGAAACGGAAGTATATAGGCGGTTCCTTGTCGCGCTTCCTCATGGGAGTCAGTGGGAGCGACCATAGAGTCTAAGGCTCTGTGCGCAGCGCCCTCTGTCGGCTGAGAGGACTCGAT